CATAAGTCCTCATATTTTTTCAGACTACTTCCAACCACGTCCTTTGGGCCACCCTTTGCCCTTTTCGGTCTTTCCAAAATAAAAGAAAGAAAAAAAGGCATCTTTCTCCTCACCACCACCACCTTAGCACTATCCTCTTCTAATCACTAGCACCCACACCTTTTTTCTGGTCAACACTGTAGACCACCTTTTGACTTGTGAATATGTGGAATTTATTGATATGTCAAAACACATGATATTTACCATGGTGTTTTTTAAGCAATGGAAAAAGGGTCATTTTACTGTATGTTTAACCTCTCCCGATTTCCTCCCCACCCCACCTCCCCCCTCCAAAAACGAAAAGACAAATATAGACACAAGCACACACAAATGCCACCACCTGGCCCGTCATTGCCACCACCCTATCCTCAGGACCACCCTAGGACCTGCCCCATCTTTTGACCAACAGCCTTGACGCCTCCTGACCACCAACACCTTGAATGTGAACATGTAAAATTTATTGAAGAAATAAATGTCTTAGGACAGAAGATAATTGATAATGCCTTTTTATTGGCCAATAGAAACAAATTATCATTTTACTATATCTATTTGTCTCTTTTTATGGCTTTTATTCAGTGCTCTTACTTACCTTCATCAAAATTTCTCAAGTATGCCATCTCTATGGATGCATTTGATAATGATGAATCCTTGGGAAAGTCTCCTAATTTCCCTTTTACTGTAGCTTTCCCCTATTTGGGAATAGTAAAAGAGGGAAAAGTCGAAACTTAAATTCCCCATTACACTGTTTAAATGAGTGCAGTGGCAGCCCATGGGTAACCCTTTGCTGCCACTTTCTAGGAAAATTCACAAGACGAAACCCTCACTTGCACCAACAAAAACCACTGCTCTCTCTCGCCCCCCGTCATTCACTCATTCTCTACCGGTCTCGTCTTTGTCCTACAATATCTCTCTTCTTCATCCCACACTCCACATGCTCCTCTTTGTCTTCCTCATCCCATATGCCAAACCCTCCTGTCTCTCTTCCTCAACCCGATGTTCTTTTCTTTTTTTTTTTTTAATTCTAATTTTCTGCCCATTTTCAAACCTGCAAAGGTAACCTCCCATTGTTCAGCCCTGAAAGTTTCTAGGGGGTTCACTATAAAGGCTAGTCAAACCAGAGGAGGAGAAAAACTCATTTGAAGCGAAAGACACACTTAGTTCATAGACGACCCCATTAAGCCCTGATAATATTGATCACATGTATAAGGGCTCTCTCTCTCTCTCTCTATTTATCTATCTATAACATTTCCCCTCATTCTTTGACATACACTATATTTTTTTTATTTCTCTCTATAATGGGTCCTCTGATTTCTGTGAAATGTTTAATGGGTTTTCTGTTTTTTTTGGTATGGTTTCTCATGTAGTGCGATGTATTATGAATAACAGTGGCTAGTTTAGAGTACTTGATTATGATGAAGTTTATAGTGTTTTTTGGCATCAATTTTCAATTTTTTCGAGAATTTTAGGGTTCTAGCTTTTATGATAAGGTTTGTGAATTTGTCAAATTTATATAAAAAAATTTATTTATTTATTTATTTTTGTGAATGTAGTTAACGTACATTAACAAAAATGAAAAATAAAAATAAAAAGTATATACTTTTCATTTGGTCTTTTTTAATCGCTTCTTTTTTTTGGTATTTTATTTGATTGGATCTGTTTTGGTGATGTTGGTGGGGTTTCCATAATTAAACTTTAAATTTTTTTGGTACATAGTAAAAATACATTTACCTGATTTCACCTTAAACCTTACATTTCACTGTCCTTTAATTGGTTATTGTGGTCAAAACTATTAACGATAGTTTTAGATAAACTGATATTTAAGAGTAATTGAATAAGCAATTTGCAATTGAGTTTTTGAACATTGTGAAAATTGAGTTCGAATAGTTGTTAATATGACCGGATGGAGTTTCTTTACCTTGACCTAGTTTCTATGCAGTGGCCTTTAACTCTTGATTCGACCACCTTCTAATCGTTGATTATATATTTCTTTGGTATGCAAGTATGGGACACTGATAGAGTGATTTTGTGAACTATCAACAAGGAAAGACGAGAGGAATTGGTAGTGCATTTTGTTTATGTTTTTTGGAATAAATAAGTAGTATAAGATTTAGTAAAATGAAAAATCTTAGTTGTGCCTCATGCCCCAATTGAGTTTTGGTACAAGCATTAAATATTCTTCTTTTAGGTAGTTCAGTGGTAGAAATCAAACTTAAGATGTAGCATACTAGCATTGCTTGACGTCAAATGCTAAAACAATCATTAAATATGAAGTGGAAGGTCTATTTTATAGAAAGCTTGAGCTTTCTTAGTTGAGTTGGAAGTGGTTGGGATATAGTGTTAGACATAGTAAATATTAGGATTTGATGTTTGTGATGAGGAGATTATTAAGCAGGCGGTTTCCAGCTTTCCCAATACCAAACAGGTGAAAATATCAGCACCACAGTTTATCAAATAGGGTTCTTAGCTTTCAGGCTACCAATTTTCACCTTTCTCCTAGATTTAAGGAAAGTCAGTAGTAGGAATTGTCCTAGAGAAATTGCAGGGAAAGTTATCTAACGCACCGTATAGTTTTACCACTAAGTTCTTGTGGGATGTTTTGCCACAACTTTACAATAAAGCTGCACCACCCTTCTGAAAATGTATTCTTGGTGTTGGAAACGTTATGATGGCGCAGAAATCTATTTCCTCCCTGATTATGAAAAGGTTCCAAAAAATGGTGTTGATCTGATACGTTTGTGAACACTTGAAAATGGATGTTCCAGATAATGTCTTACAAAATATGGTATTTGTAAGGCTTGAAATCTTTTTGTTTTTTTTTCCTTCTCATATTGAGTTTGAGATTATCAACTTGAGGGTTTCATTTTCGTAACTTCAATTTCCAGCAAGATTTGAGGCACATCTTTAAAGTTCCATGATTCTTTTCTTTGTTCAATCATCGAGAGAAATATTTATGCCTCAATTCTTTGTCTACTTCAAATGATATTTATGTTATTCATTTAGATTTGTTCTCTTACAAGAAAGAATTGAACATCATATACTCTTCTTGTGGCAAAGGTTTATTGAATGGGCATTTTGCAAATATGAACTCCTATTCTTATCTTCTTACTTGGTCCTTGGTGTTTGTAAAAGGCTATTGGACACGAAGTGCTTGCCATAAAAAACACAAAGAAGAAGGATTTAGTTAGTTCTTATGAGGACCACACTTCTGAATGTGAATTTGTTCACCTTAAGGAGTGCATAAATCCTTTATTGCCTCTTCCAGGTACGTAATCATTTGCATTTCTTTTTTTGTTGCGGTTTGCAAATCTAAAGCGTATTAATGTTGGCTGCTTACCTTAAAGATTTGGCGATTCTTCAATTTTTGATAAATATATTCCAAAAATTGCCTTATGGTCTTCTCCTAGGTGACCAATTGCTGAAATCTTGACACTTGTAGTAGCGCAAGGGTGGAATTATTTTCATGTAATATGTATAATTGTTCAAGGGCATCATGTAGTTAAGTGCTCTAATCAAATCACATATAAATCCAAAGTAAAACTAGAAACTAGAGGAGAATGTGGTCTTATGGAGAGAGCACATGGTGCTCAAATTCTTTTCCTTTCTTTTTCTTTTTCTACATGCTTCATTTCCCTCTTAGGTTTAAATGCATCAAGTCTTTTTCTACTATTGTTTTGAGTATAAGTGACTTTGTATTGATGATAGTGCTCAATGTACAAAAATTTCGTGTAACAAAATGCATACCTAGGATTGGGACCAGCAAGCCAAAAAAAAAAAAACTTTACTAATAAAACATTTTACAGTTAAAAAAGAAGGCAAGAAGAATCCAAATGTTACTCGATGCTCTTTCTTTTGCTCAAGCCCAGGCATTGAGTTAGTAGCATCATTCTGAGTATGATGGTAGGGTGGATGAATAATTACAGAAACGGCTGCCATTTGATCGGAAGACTTCTTCCAATCTGATCACATTCATGGAGTGCCCTTTCTCCTGAAGTGAAGCACCCAACTGTAGTCGAGTAATTTCAAGCCCTCAAGCAGAGCTACCAGCTCTGGCTTTGGTGAAATTTGTGACCCTGATGGAACCTGAATTAGATGGGAAGCAAAGTTGTAAGCTGTTTAAACACTCCTCCTAGGCCTTTGCTGCCTGGGCCTTATAGGGAGCAACCATCAAAATTGAGTTTAATAGCACTGATATTGGCGGCAACCAAATACATGATGTAGTGATCACTATCAGTCTGATATCACATTACTTTCTACTAATAAATTACGAAGAACAGCCATTCAAACTAAAAATCACGAGTTGGTCAAACCTACAACAAAGATGTGGACATATGAGGAAATGAAGGAGTATGTATTACCTTATAGTTCTTCTTTTTGTTTCTTTTCTCATCAACACTCCCCAAAGTGGCCCATGGATCAAACCATAGATACCAGGATCGTGTGGACCAGTCCACTGTTCTGATCCAGGACTGCGGCCTTGCTGTCCCAAACAAGCATTGCAAGTGGAACGTGGTTCTTATTTTCGGGATCTTGCTCCAATATCTCGCACCTATTCAATAGGGATCGTGACCTAAATCCTTTAGGGAACAAGCTCCATCGTGATGAAAAATAAGGTCATTGAGAATCATGGCTGGAGGTCCCTAGTGTATGGGAATAGGGTCTTAACACTATCACATTCAAGATTATATATTAAAAATCTAATATCCTGGGTTTCGCAAAATGGAGTTCCCTAGTATATGTTACTCATTCAAGAGATGCTAGGGAACACTCAAAGACCATGATATATAGAGAAAAATTGTCTATTCATTACGAATTAGCGTGTAAGGACAAGAAAAACAAAATTATGCAAGACACAACTAATTATAATAATATATGTACAATGATTTGTATTTTCATATCCAAGGAAAGGGAGATCCCTTTTGCCATATAAGGGGTAGAGAGGGAGAACTGAAGCTATAAACAAGATAGAAGGAATTATAGTATGCTATTTTGTTATCCTCTTGCCGCTTCCAATAGCTTGAAGCCCTTGTTTGACAATTGAGGTTAATGTTCATGATTGGCTCAAGGCTGACTTGTTTCTCTACCAAATAAATCATCTCCCCGGTTCGAGGATGTATATGGAACTAGAGGTCCTGACAGTGGAGCTGGCGGACAATCATCATCATGGATCTTTGTAATCCGATCACAATCTACATAGCAACTATCATTGTAGTGAACATATACCAGTGACTCAGATCAATCAGCATTTAGTCTATTTTGCTTAACACTGTCAATGTTTTTATAAGTGCTCCAGCTTGTCTCTGTGCATGATAAGGACATTCTGAGATAACACTTTAACTACAAGCAAATACAATTCGAGAACCCCTCCCACCAAGAAATAGAGATCATTGATCATGTATCACAAATGGATACTAGCAGGGCAAAAGCTCCTCTATTTCCTACGATATCTCTGATGTTTCTACCCCTCCCTCTCATCTAGATACAACACATCAACTGTTGCAAAGTAACATGCAGACACTTTTGCAGCCAGCACTTCATTGTCATGGTGGAGTTTACTTCGGCCCAGTAGGAGTAGGTCTACTCACCTATTCCTGAGAGTGATACTTCAGACTCAATAACATATGCTAAACAGTGCAATGGAGGGTTAGTACGGTCTGTTCGACCACCAACTATTTTGGACTCTGTTATAGAGCATGATCGTCATAAATTACCAACGCAATTTTGCCAACTATAGTATCCATGCTTTCATATGCATCCCTTTCACAACACTATTAGTATATGTAAACTCCATTTTCCATATCGGCCTTGTAAACTGCAAGATTCATATATGTAATCCAAAAATCCTCATCCATAATGATTTCGCTGACCTTGCCATGCTCTGCATCTCTTGTACCTCCTCTGAGACCCTCCCATACATCACTCAACACTAATGATGTTGGAGCACAGCTCACCTCCAAAAGCCAGCTTAACATTATATATTGGCATCTGAATCTCGTCTTCTTGACTTTGAGGACCTCGAGTTTCAAGAAAGTCCTAAATACTTACAAGCACCTAGTATGATTTTAGATATACTTCATCACCTTCTAAGCCTCACAACATTGCATTTGTAGAAAATCAAAGGGTGCATTCTTCCTGTCTTTATCAATGATTTCCTTCATGAAGAATCTTAGCTGGTGTGCTAAGCAATCAGACTAAAAAATGTGGGGATGATGATGTTTGATCATGTTCCTTGCATTTTTACAATTTGCAACAATGTCTGTTAGGACCTGAACAACATTGTAGAGCCCAATCGATTCTATCTTTCAAAAGACTATCTGCAATGTCTTGTCTTCTCAATGGAAGAGCAATCATATCCTTTGATGAACATTGCCGTCCTTCTTTAAATTGCCATTACTTTGATCAAAGACTCATTCTTAATATTTGCTCAAATCATCCGAAACTACTAACAGGCCACAAGTAATCTGCTATTTTTCAAGCCAACGCACGATCGATCATGTTCCTCTTGTTATCTAGAAAGTTTGTCCTAGTTTTTCCATATTGAGGTGCCATATGGCCCTTGGACGCATTGTCAATAGCATGCACCATTTCATAAAATATTGGGCCTTTGGCTACATTGAAATGGGATGCCATGAGCATAAGAAAAACGAGCTACTTTCGCATCTACTTCTTCTCTCACCTGCGCATTGAACATGTGAGGGGTTAACTGCTTCCCTTTTTGTTGATGCAGGATGGTTGATGTATTGGGGAAACAACAAAGGATCAAGTGAGAAAAGAGCCCTTATTTTTACCCCTGCCATACAACTTAATTACCTCTGCCTCTTCTTCCTGAAAGGCCTCCATTCATCTTTATGTACCTTGGGGTACTTCATAATCGTCTTGTGCGGCTTGTCCAGGGGACAATCCCAATAAGTGGACCTGCACTCGGACATATGATCCGTTGTGCGGGGCTTCTTGGCAATGGAAATTGCATTTCCATTTCCTGCCACCACGGAATTGCCTTATCGACATCTTCAATTTCATCAAACTCTAGCCTGTTGCCCCTTATACAAATATCTTTTCCAATATCAAGCTCCTCGTCCCCATTCATCTGAGCGCATTTTAATCAAATTAGAGTTTAGAATTTAGTCATGTGACAAATAAGACTTCATTGTGATTATATTTTAATCAAAAGAGAGACTATTCTATTTACTCTTAGTTGAATTGATTTGCAACTTTAGGGAAATATGTTTGTGTCGCATGATTTCCCAATCTATGAATCATAAATACTCTTTGCCATATCCTCTCTCTTTTCTTCCTTTACCTATTCACTCTCTACTCTACGTAGTGGGAATGGAATTTCTAGGGTTGGTCATACACTCCCTTCCTCATCCTCTCTGTTTGCACCGTCCTCTCATCTACTCTCCTCTCCAAGAACTGGATATAGTCAATATGGGAGCCGCCTCCCATCTACACTCCTCTCCAAGAACTGGGCATAGTCAAGATGGGAGGTATATTACGCTCTGCTCAAGTGGGTGTCCGTTGGATTAAGTCATCATCTTCAATTGGCACCAGCTAATACAACCTTCTCGTGCACGCTATATTCCTACATGCCATATGATCTCTTCACCACCAGAAATCAGACATCATCACCACAAAAAAGAGTCATACGCTCCTATACCATCTTGCAGTGGCTCGAAGCTCTCACCAAATCTTTTTGTCGGATGTCGAGGACCAAACCCACTACTGACTACCATGGGGTGGTCTCCCATTTATCAAAGAATGCTACCACTATTGGAGGCCCTCGTCTCTACTTGGTCACTCGTTTCGAGAATGCTCCTTTTATTCTCATGTTGGGTTTTGCCCACTTTTTCTTGATTTCGTTTTTTCTTTTCCGTATGTTTTCTTCTATTCGTTTCTCCCCTAACTCTCACATCTCTTTTATCGCTTCTCTCTCAATTGTTGTCTGAGCACCCAATCTGTGGGACTGCCTTCTTTAGGATTAGATAAATTGTAATTCCTTTTATTCGGAATACAGTTAACCTTCTCTCAAAAAAAAAAAAAGAAACAATAAAACAATTCAGAGGTTCATTTTTCAATGTATTCATGAGATTCGGATACTATACTAGAAGGGTGGGGCGCTGTGGCAAAACCAAAATTATGGAATGCCATAAAAGGGCAGAAAACCATGTGTCACATGGTAGGTTGCGAGGAACCATCAAATACACAATCAAAATATGGACATCAGTAATGAAATGGTTGATAGAGAAAAAGAAAAAAAAATAGTGC